GGGGGGGGGGGGGGGGGGGGGGGGGGGGGGGGGGGGGGGGGGGGGGTTGGGAGCATTTCTGATGTCATGGGGGTATCGCGCCATCACGTTTCTTGTTGGGGCGTTTCTTACGTTGTGGCCGAGATTGAGCTTTGTTGCTTAGCCCTTTTTGCGTATTTTCGTACAAAGTTGAGCCTTTGTTATTTCATTTTTTTTCTCAACTGCGGGCGCTATCTGTATTTGTACGCGAAGGGAAGGGGTGGCGAGAACCGTGAGACGCAGTACCTTCTTTCGAAGACCGTTCATTCCTTTACTCATGAAACTCAACAGAGCCGTAAAGCCAAGCCGCGGGGGGAGGTTCAGGGAACTCTTCGCGATATGTGGAAGGAAAGCCATCAAGGTAGCTTTTGGTCTCCGCCGGGACAGCAGTGATATGTACTGGTGTTCCTCGGTGCGACGCTGAAATACGCGCTGTTTTTTTTTGTTTCACAAGAATGAGATAAATATATGTCTACTTGGACTTTCCTCCTTGTTTCGCTGCCGGCTATGCAACACATTAGTTGGCCAAGTACAAACTGGTGTACTGCTGTTGTTGTTTTCAACACGTCCCCGACTGCTGTAAATCTCATTTCAAGTGTAGCAAATATGTTCGACGTCAACAAACGGTTGCCAGTCGTCTCGGCGATGCTGACTTTTCGTACCACCCCCTTCCTTAGCGAAAGACGCGTAGTTTGAGGTATAGCATGCCTCCATTTGCCCCGGGGATGGTGAGCTATCGTCCCCTGAATTCTAAGGACGCAACCCCGCTTTAAGGACGTTTTTTTCAGGAAAAACCATGTGCGTCCTTAAAGCGGGGTCGACTGTATCGCAAATCCACTGCTCCCCAACTCCGCATCTCATGGTCGCCACACCAACATTCTTGGTCCAGCAAAGCAGAATGCTTTTTTCGTGGGGTCCCGACATTGAGCATCCCCGCGTTGAACACATTCCTGTTAACAGCACGGATAGGCTACTTGTTGTATGGGCGTTACCTCATGTTGTATTTCCCGGTCCAGTCGACCATACACCTTCAGACATAAAGAAACGTAGTTGCTGTTTGTGTAATCTCATGCATGTGGACTGTCCGTGCGCGTGTCGTTGTTATGTCCTGTGCAGGCCAGGAAAGAGAACATGCTAGAGGAGAGGAGCGACAGCCTGTGGACATTCCTCGAGTTGCACCGGCCGGTCTTCCTCTCTCAGCTCTACACGGTGGTGCGTCCGCAATAGGCTAACCGTGCGCTCCATGCCTTTCCTCGGATACATCGGCGTGTCTGTCAAGTGTTATGTGTCGATCCTTTGTGTTCCTGTGCAGGAAGACCGAATACGGATGGGCTTGACCGCGTTCGCGTCCTTGCAAAGGTGGTGGTTGCACTCGTAACCTCGAAGCCAGGATAGGCATGGTCGCTTCATATGCTTGCTTGTTTGGAATAGCTTCAACATAGACTACAAGTATCACCCTTCTCTGCCATCGGCACCGCTTATATTTTTTCTCCAGGATACCGTGCACGAGCTTCTACCACCGCTCTCCAGTATCCTGCGGCACGTGAGGCTCTGGAGTGATTACTTCTTGCGATGGAGCCCTGCACCATCATTCATGCCCCTGCCACGGCTACTCCGAGGTGCATAGTCCACTTGAGCTCGTGTACACTGCTATCAGCGAGTTCAGAACCAGGTTTATCAACTAAATGGTCGCGTGTCACGACTTGTTTGCCATTACCCAAGACACGGTTCTTATTTGTATTGCTGTAAGACCTAGCGAGTATCTACGGGTGTCCCAGACTCTTCGAGGCAAAGGAACAAATTCAAGCAAATTCTCCTGGTCACAATCTGGCGCCAGTTCATGCGTACAACGAAACGAACGACCCCTCGAAAGCCGCAGCACTTGCGACGAACAAACTTCCTAAGTCCAGAAACGAGACGAAACTCAGGGTAGGACGGGGAAAGCCTCCATGAGGACGTAAAACCATCGTTCCGAGTCAACAGAGTATTTTCGGAGTACCACCCACTACCATTGTCTTGTGCTCACCTAGCCCATTTCCGCTTCGCCTTTCGCAGATAGCGACAGCAGCCTGGACACTAGCAGCAGAAGAAGTGACGGAACCAAGTCTCCTGCGGGGAAGACTGCGGGCCAGCAAGCACGAAACGCTGTAGCCGAAGAGGGTCAGCACCCTGCTATTCCGATCTTCAGGTAGCCACCACGGGTAGTTGCTCCGCACCAGCGACCGCGCTCTTCGTGTGTATCTATGCTGTGTTTTTTTGTTAATGATCGAGGCCAAACCAAGCACGGAGATTTTCGTATGGCGTGATCGGAGGTGCATGCGTTTAAGTTGCTTTCGTGTATCAACGCCCCGCAGCGTACTAACAGCCCGTCCAAGTCGCTAGGCGGAAAGAACAAGGTGCCGGTAGACAGGCGTCACGGTGATCGTGTCTAGAGTCTGTATTTTGTAGGCACACGTATGTCTATATGGCTAAAGCGTGTTTTGACCAATCGGATCCATCGGCCACGCGTGTCATGTGTTATATTATTATCACATTATTGTGCCAAGTACTGTTGATGGGGCAGGGGGATCGGCTGGTCTTTTACAAAGCCTTATCTCATTCAAACATTTTCCCCTCAACTGACGTTGTCTCATTAGGTGTGAGTTCGATGAGATGGAGCGATGGATGGGCTTGTGCAGATCTGGAGTGGGCAATGCGAACGGCAACAGCAAGGCTGCCGCGAGGGGGGGTGTACCCTGTGGTAATGACGATAGCAGTAGTGCACATGGGTGTGAAGGGGCGAAGTCGGAGGTGAGTGTGGTCTGGTCTTCTTTTGCGCGTTGCGATGGAAGGCAATTGTTGACGGTCATTTGGCGCCCTGTTTTTTCTTGAAGGCTTTCGTTGTTTTGTTTTTATCCAACCCTCCGCCCATATTTGTGCACCGCGGTTTTGACTCTGTTAAGTCATGCATGGTAGAAATCCCCATAACAACTTGATGTCAGCTGAGTTTCTGTGCTCGATTTGTGCCCCAAACATCCTGTCAATATTTTCGGGTTTGACTTCGGCACTGCTAACAGGATCTGGCGGCTGCTCGGAAGGAGATCATTCAGCTCAAGGTTGCCCTTGCGGAAAAGGTAGGCGCATTTGTGGAGCGACGTCGCTTGTATCGTAACCTTGGCTCGACAAAGACGATAACAGTACGGTTTCACGCGTGTTGATTGTTGACGGTGTGAACGTGCGGATCAGCCCGTAGGAATGCGAAACGTGTTTTCGTCGGTGGTCGGATGCAGACTGGGTGTGATGCATTCGTATGTAAGCCATACTAAAACAAGTATCGATAGATCCTGGCCCGCGCTTCCCATTTCCCCTTCTGCAGGAGCAACTGTTGAACACACTGGCGCAAGCGAACGCGATGGACGCGAGCACTCCGCAGAGGGCAAAAGTGGGTACGCGCAAAGTGCACACTGCGCCTTCGAGACCGTTGAGAGACAGGCGCGGAAACCCCCATGGTAGGACAGACCAATCGAGCACCGCCACCTCGCGAACACATGGCGATAGCCCTCTTTCTGAGGCGGCCGCGGTCGCGGCTGTGGAGGCCGCTGCAGCAGACGATGAGAACGAAGAACTGGCGGCATCTCGGCCTCGGGGCCTTTCTTCCACAGCGGAAAGCAGGGAGGTGAGACGATCTTCGGTGAACAGCGAGTTGAGCTACGAGGATGACCGTGGGAGATGTTTGACTGGAGCGACGCCTGACGTCTCTTACGATGTACCGGGAGGGGGTGTGGGCCGAGGCCTGGGCGGGAGTGTGGGTGAGAATCACGTGATGCGCGATGACGCCGGACAAGGAGCAAGGGGGTGGAATTGGGACTTCAAGCCTTGGAACGGTCCTCCTTCGAAGGGCAGGGGCAGGAATCGCTCTTCGAAAGCGCCCTCGAAGCCATACTGAGTTGAGTGCTTTCTGCACGCAAGAAAGCGGCGAGTCCCTTCCATCCATCCGGACCTTGAACCCAAGGTGTGGGATGGGTTCGCTGAGAGTCTCTCCCCCACGGGCATCCGACCGTTTATCCGCGAATGGTGGACAGCGGCGCGTGATGGGCGGGGCGGGGCGCCCATTGGCATGCCCACGTCGCCAGGGGTGGATGATCTTGTGGCGTTGCAACAACGTCGTTGCCGCTGCCGGCCTGAGCAGCTGATGGGAACACCGATGCCATCAGCAGGCGGATGCGGTCTTGGCACCGTTGTTCATTGACATGATGACCAACAGGACCAACAGGACCAACAGGACCAACAGGTCGCCTAGTAGTTGGTTCACCTGCACACTCCCGCACGCATTCTTTATGGTGAAGTGTATTGTGTCTCCCGTAGTTTGTACAGCAGTAGAGTAGTTCCAGTTTGATCTTGATCGGAAAAATTGTTGATCGATCGGCCCATGGTGGTCAGTCTTCCCGGGATATAGACCCTACACAACGCGTTGTGTTTACCCGCACCCTCTTGTTTGAATTTATCATTTATTATTCGAATGTGGCAGGACGTCAAGACTCGGTGAAAGACGGTGTAACCTGGTCGGGGTTGGTTGCTCCAGATCCTGAGCGATACCACGCAAAACTTCCCTCGGGTACGCGTCAAGACGCTGTATTCACGTTGTCGCAAATGGGGTGTATGCCGATCGAGCGGGTACAATTCTGGTTGTCTTGAAGAGTAAGCGTCCGCCTTTCGTGAAGCGGGTTCGGATGGTGCGGAGCAAATTGATGCAGCAGCTGGCAAGTTGAGACGCCGCTTCCCGGTTGCATGACTACCGGATCTTGTACTTTTCAAAGTACTACATAAATCACTTGCGTGCGGGTATCCGCGAATCGGTCATCCATGAAGCACGCGGTGCCTAACACTGCACGCAAACACGTCACCTGGTGAGTACGGCATTGATGCGCGGCATCGGTACCCACTAATTGGACAACGCGGTGTCTAATGGCGTTTGCGACACATTAGAAGTAAATACGGCAAGGGTATACGCGGATCCGTCACCGAGTAGGCACGCGGTGCCTAAACAATGTACGCAAACACGCACCTGGTGAGTACAGCATTGACGCGTGGCATCGGTACTCACCAATTAGACAACGCGGTGTCTAACGGCGGTTGCAAGGGTAGATACGGCAACGGTGCACGCGAATCCGTCATCCATGAGAATCGTAGGCACACAAGGCTGTCTCCACAATGCTGTATGGTCCTTGCACCCGCGATGTGTGTGTGTCTACCTTCTCGATTGTGTGCACATATGTACGATGATTGGAGCATATATTTGTTCCCTTAGAGCGAGCCAGTTCTCGACGAGGCAAATCACGGGTTGCAGCCGGTTTTCGTCGATTTTGTGTAGCTCCTAGAGAAGACAAGAAGCCTCGGCCAAAAGTATAGTGTCTTCATCACTGGCGCGACGGGACTACATGGTACCGCTTATTTTCCGAGAGAGGTTCACAGCAGCGGGGGGGGCGGCGGGTGGACAGCACAATCTCATACTTCGTATTTATTTGATGCGTTTCATCGATTCGAATATCCCCCTCGGAAAATTGAATTGGTGGGTGTCCAGTGTCTGCGGGTACTTTGTTCAGGAAGTTCATGGTCTTACCGTCCCACCTACGGGACCGCCACAGCGATCAACCATAGAGAAGCGATGGTGGAAACGGTCGTTCGTGATGAAATTGCAGTAACTTAACTCCGAACGGCACTTGTCCCCAATTGTATAGGCGATGTTTACGTAAACTGATGGTGGTTCGATACGTTAAACCTGCGAGAAAACATGGATGCGTATGTCACAAGCACTTGGTCGGACGGTGCTTGCCTGTCTGTCCCTCTGTAGTGTGATGAAGACATGAAGACTGCTGGCGGCTGTTGACGATTTGGCGTCGTCGTTATTTCCTGGCACCCGCCACCGAGACAAATGAGAGGGGGCGTGTGCCGCAGCGGAGTCTTTGTTGATCCACACCTGTCTTGGTGTTGCTTGTCCAGAGGGGCGGGTGCAGGGGCAACTAGGGGAACTCTCTCTCGAGCTCCAGACGAGAAGGCTAAGATCACTGTCGCGCCCAAGGAAGTCGCTTACGCGAGGCCTCTCCTTTGCCACGTCTCATCGGCCTTTTGCAGTGCAATAACACGGAAGAGGGAGCTAAATTAGCTGTGTGCTCTGCAGGGAACGGTCGCCCCTCCCTCACCTGCAACCCCTCTCTGCGTTTGCCGCGTGTGCTTCGGCTGGAAGCTGTTTAGGAGGCCCAGTTATTTGCACGTGAGACGTGAGTGACATTCTTTCGAATATGCCATCGGGTACGGCGTACGTTGTATTATTTCGTCCCGCATTGTTGTTGCCAGTTTCATTTGTCAGCGCATTCTGTAACGAGCACGACGGGGGTCTAAAAGCTGGAGCACAGAGAACACGCACGGCGTCAAAACACCTGCACCTTCCCCAACTGCAAGTGTTGCACCGACATTCAGCATCTGGCCCCGAACGTCAGCTGTAATTGTCTCGATTATCTCTGTGCATGGCTAACTCTTCATCGTCGTTTGGCGTCATGTCGCTAAGTACCGCTGATACGTTTTTCTACCGCCGTGGGTGACACAAGACATGACACCCCTGGATCGATTATCAAAGCTCGGTTTCTCTACAGCTAAAGTACATGTTATGGTTGTGCCACAGATGGCGGAGTTGGGCCCGTCTCGTGGTGAGCTTTCCGAAAACGCATTGTGTCATGTATCCTCTTCGTCGTGGAGCAGTCAAGGTTTGAAAATCGGTGCAGGTGTTGTGGTGTCTTCATCGCCTACGGCGAACTACAAAACACCTGTGGAGAGCAGCAGCACAGTAGTCTTGGTGCTTAATGATCGGTTGATCTGGGTGTTAGGTCGCATGAGGTACTCCTGCCATCTTTTCGTGCCGAGAAGAGGAACACCGCAGCGCGTAGCAATAGAAACATCCTTCGTTGCTGTTGCGTACATGTTCTAATATGAAGTGGCTCGAGTGTACGCATGTACATGTAGTGTACGGTAGCGCTGCTGCATGGTGTCGTAAATAACAGTCTGCACGTGTCGGTGGTAATTCGAGTCAGAGCGCATGGAAAACTGGTGCTGTACGCTGTGAGCGACCCAGACACCTTTGTGCAGATCACGTAGCGGAAAGGAAGGCAAGGTGGGAGGAAAGCTGTAGTCCGTTTAGCCAAGGCGTGCAAAACAGTAGGGTCGGGATCAAACATTCTCAAGTCAGCGGATTTGTCCTCCCTTCCGTGAGCAGTCAGTCCTTTAACGGGTACACTCCGATTGCTACCCCCTCTTTGCAGGATGCTTCCCAGCAGCGTGGGGGGCAGATACGCTCCTCACCGACATGGGTCATCGTATGCACAGTCCATGTCGGCGTCGTGGAGCCTTCCGGATTACTTGAGGCGGATGTTTGACTACCGCCAGGTAGGCCAACAATACTAGACTCAGCTACTCGGCACGCGCATTCGTCCACCGTTCCTTATGTACAGTACACGTGCCGTAGTCGTTAGACCATTGACCTCGCATCCCTACAAAGCCGGGACAGAGCACGCCGGGTTCTCACCGGACTAGGCTCTCACATCACCAAGCGCGAAGCGCCGTGAGGTATTCGGCGAGTCGCATGAAGGGTGCGCTGCATCCTGGTAAGGGTGTTCGGCATCTTGTGCTTACTTCCTTGCGTACGGATGACAGCTGCGTATGACTTAATTTATCTTCTGGTGCTTTCACTTCCAGAGACAGTTGTAAGTACTGTGTAACTGCCTCGAGGGTGCTTGACCATTTAAACACAACGTGGTGCGATCATCCCCCTTGAGCGGAGCGAGGGTTCTCCACCCCGCACAACATGATCTACTCGACCACCATTATGATTACCGCCAATTAAAAGATTACAGAGGTAAAAAAAAACCGGCAACCTGGTTGTCGAGTTCACGAAGTGAATTGGCTTGTTATACAACGTCGTTGCCAAGCGACGAAAACCCAACCCCGATGGCAAACACCGGGAGGGGGGGCTTGTTTTACAACGTTGCCAAGCGACGAAAACCCAACCCCGATGGCAAACACCGGGAGGGGGGGCTTGTTTTACAACGTTGCCAAGCGACGAAAACCCAACCCCGATGGCAAACACTGGGGGAGGGGATCTGCTCGACCACGATCATGGTTACCAACAAAAACAACAATGAGAAGGTAACCTGGTATGTAGTCGAGGTCACGAAGCGATGTCTTACAACGTCTTTGCCAAGCGACGAGAACCCACAATGACGGGGGGGGCGGGAGGGGGGCTAAGATCAGAGAGGGGGACAGATGATGCCTGCAGCCCGGTGGACGATGAGATAAGAGTGCAAGGGCTTGTGGGAACGAGAGCAAGGTATGTTCGTGAATGATGGTTGTCTCACCCGTATGCTACAGTCATCGATCACACCAGGAACGGTTGGATGAGGACTGCTGTCGCCAACAACCCACTGCTAACAGGCCTGGTGTGTCCGACGTTCGCACCACCTATGCATGTTTCGCTCCTTGTTGTTACTGTCGTTGCCGCCGCTGCTGTGGCTGCGGCTTCCGCTCCTGACTGGTGCGGTGATGCTGCTGCTACTGCCTTCGCCCGTAAGATGGACATGGAGGCGACGGCGGATCAAATGGTTACCCTTCTCAGCGTCAATCCTCAGAGAGTGTGAGTCAGTACTACTGTGTCTTTGGTTTCCCCTTCTTGTCTCAGTTCCAGAAATTGTTGGCAGTGTGCGTGAGATTTTGTACTGTTGGAACTTACGCAATAAAAGCTTGATGGTCGTAATTGGCGCCGAAAGCTAGCGAGAGAAGGAGACAGAGTGCACTTGGGTGATTTTGTTAGAAGGTGGGTCAAGGATATCCTGTTCAACGTGACCTTTGTACGTGTACGTGGTATGGTTGTTGGTTTATGCCTCGTGCGCTCTTCCTCAAAGGGCAGTGTTGCTCTTTTGAAAGGCCGCATGCAGGACCAAAGAACGCCTGTACTTTGTTGCCCTATCGTCGCCATCCACTCATGCGCGGCCCTCTGGTTCTCGTTGACACGATATCATGCCTTGGTTGCTTTCATGATAAAAACGTTGGTCTTACAGCTGTTGTTGTTGCTGCTGCTGCTGCCACTACTGCTGCTGCTACTACGGTGGTGACGTGGAACGGGTCGGCATCGGTCCTTTGCATCAGCTATAAAACGGCGTACTACCGAAAACGTGAGTCCTGGGCTTGTATGCTTGGAGAATTGCAATGCCCTCTGCTGCGCCTCATTTTGCCGGGTACCAATCCTTGGCTTCCCCGTAGGTCCTACAAGTTGTCCCACCTCCCTGCAGCAGTCGTATAATAGATTTGCTGTGAGATGGTATCAGGCAACAAGCAAATTATATTGTTGCCGTTTTTGTACTCTTCCGACTCGACTGATGTGTTTTGTAAGGATTCATCTTGGCTGCTGTCAAGCACATTAATCCTCTCGGCCACCGTCTGGCTTTCCCTTTTCCCCTCTTCCCGCCCCCCTCGCCACACCGTACCCCGCCCCGAATGCATGCTCTGACTTGTGACAGAAACAAAAAACCACTGGGCAAGAGATGACCCTGGGTTTGCAGTTCTGCAGGCGTTTTTTCTTGTGGTGAGTGACTACAACTTGTCGTAGACCTCGCGTAGCGTTGCATTCCCGTCGAGTTGACAGAACCATTAATATTTGTCAACTCGTGCAGGAACTTCCTGAGCATCGAGACCAGGGGTGAAAAGCAATTGAAGGAAGGAATTTGCGGCCCAATCATTTGCATGGCCTACGGACATTTCTCCGCATGTTGCCGTACGTAATGCATACCACTGCACCAATCCATACAATCGATGTCTCCAGGCTGCGACTGGCGTGTTCTGTTTGCTGGTCTGCTCCTCGTTGCCCCCCTCCGCATCCACTCTATGCTGAAGGTCATCGTACTGCACGGTGTTTGTAACAGGTGGCGACGTTCGCCTTCGGCGTGGCGTTTGGCGCTAGGGGCGTGTGGACGTATGTGGGATTGTTACTGCACTCGGTGGCGGTACACTGGTTGTTATGCGGGGTGGTGATGTCGTCCTTGTGCCGGTGAGTGCTGTTTTCGTGCGTGATCTTACTGCTGTGGCCTGGAAGATTTCAAAGTACAGTAGAGGTCCCTGTTTAGTGCCGGTTGAATAGTGCCGGTGTTTTCGGCTCGCACACACTGGAATATCAAGTCGTTCTGTGCTTTGAATAGTGCCGGTGTTTTCGGCTCGCACACACTGGAATATCAAGTCGTTCTGTGCTTTGAATAGTGCCGGTGTTTTCGGCTCGCACACACTGGAATATCAAGTCGTTCTGTGCTTTGAATAGTGCCGGTGCCAGGTAATGTGCCGGTGAAATGTTTGCGCACACCCCGACACTAAACAGAGACCTCTCCTGTACTGTCGACTATTGTTGTGGTGGGTGGAGGTCGATGGTTGCATCAAGCATTTGGCAGGATTGTCCTTTATTCGGGCTAACGCACGAACCGTAGGAGAGTTGGAACATACGCGTGTGCAGGAAAGAGTGACGGGCTTACGGCAAAACGACACTTGCTTTGTCACTACTTTCGGATTGCTGTTGCAGATGGATAGCCAATAGTCGCCTGCTGCAGCACCGGTCTCATTCCGTGGAGCAAGAGGTGGAGTGGATGTACGCCTTGGACATCCACAGCAACTCTTTCTTCCCGCTCTTCGTATGTCTCTACGTCGTCCAGGTTTGTCTCTCGTCGTGTTGGTTGGTTGGGGTGGGATTGACATGAACACTGCTGTGCACCTATCAATCAGTCGACGAAGATACCCATGACGCTTCCCTCACACTGGCTACTGTCTCGCGTGGCTGCTTGGGCTCAAGAGTACAAACAACACTTGGGATGTTCGAGTGATGGGCGTTGGTTGTATAGGGGGCCTGCCATTGGCGTTCATGTTGACATGCCGGATTTGAGATGACGACAAGAACAGGAATCGCCACGCGAGCCTTTGACGATCTAGCTATTGTCGTTTGTGTACAGCAAGATCATAAAATTGGTACTCGTGGTACTTTACGTATTGCCGCCATCACTTGCTGAGCTAAAAACTCATGCATCGAGACTCACGTGCTACATATTCTTCCTTTTGCCCTTTTTTTTTCTTTGCGATATCGCATGAAAACTTGCACTTGTTCGGTTCGCAGCTGCTGCTGCTGCCTCTACTGGTGGGTCAGTCGGTGTGGTCCCTCATCCTGGCCAACACGCTCTACGCCGTGGCTTTCTCGGTGTATTTCTATGTTACTCACCTGGGATATCGATGTGAGAATGGTGCACTAATCGTGGACGAAATGGTTGGCCGTGCGTATCATAAGAAAAGGTGGCCGCTTGCGTTGAAGCGTCCGGCGTGGACGTATCTTGTTCTCTGCAACCATCTTGGTTTTGTAGATGGTGCTCTCTCCTTTTTTCCTATTTACTCCTGTTTACCACCCCACACCCGAGGCACCCATCGGGTGGGTTGGAACCTATTCGGGTCCTTTCAAACGTGGTAAATTACGTGTTCCGTATGACTTACATTTTCTTCACAGGGTGGTTGAGATTGCCATGTGTTTGCACCCTGCTCAACGAACACATTTTGCACTGTTGGTCTGATCCGTGTTACTGTAGTCGTCAAATGCGCTGTTTTTGCATCTTGCCCTTGACGGTAGAGGAACAACCTCGTGAGAGCCTGTTGCTCAAGTCTGATCCTCGGCAGCCCCCCCCCCCCCCCCCCCCCCCCCCCCCCCCCCCCCCCCCCCCCCCCCCCCCCCCCCCCCCCCCCCNNNCCCCCCCCCCCCCTGCCTTGTCTTGTCTCAATGAAAACACGGATAAACACGAACGGTGGGTGTGCCTGTGGACACAGCTCTTCCGTTCTTGCACACGACGGAGGTGTTCCTGTACCCGGTGGTGGCGATAATCATGCTCCTGCTGCTTTCCATCATACTCTTGCCCTTTGGCATCCGCGTCAACGCCACACTGGCCATGGCAAAATTGTATTTCCTACATTGATGAGTAAAGCGGCTGCAAAGAATGGTGGTGGTGGAATCCTATCCTCCCCGGGTGGTTCTACTCGATCAAGCAGAGAATTTTCACGGACGTCTGTGTCTGTATCTGCACGTGAAGATGCTCAGCCGACAAGATACTTGGAACAGTATCTGAAGAACAGCGGTCCCATTTATCAAGTGAGATTGGAGAGGAGGGAGGGCCAACGGACTTGGTTGGCCGTGTTGCGAGTCCCGAGGACCAGAGCTTGCGTAGGACACATGGGAGGGGGCCGTGAAGCGAGCGACCTAGTGGCGGCTGCCAGGGTGGTAAGACAGCCGCACAAAGGGACTGACTGCAAGCATGTGCCCTTGATGTTTACTGTATCTTTGCCAAGCCAGCACATGGCACGCCATGTGTCTCACTCGCGATGCACCTCTTTGGTGTGATGGCTTTGTTGTGGCGTGTGTGGTCGCATCTTTGCAAAATGGTGCCAATGGCATAATGGTGTTGGATGCCATCGAGAGAAACGAGGCGAGAGTCGGGCTTCAATGTTCGAACTTTGTAACTCACACTTGCAAGGACGCATCAAACCACGGTCCACTCGTCATGTCCCCACAACTAGTAAGTGAGGTGGAAACAGATCGTCGGGATGAAGCACACCTGTTTTGTGTTCTATCACCATCCGCCGTACTTGTTGTTATAGTGGATAATCCAATAAAGTAGCGTGATCGATTTAGTGTAGAATGCATTAATGCACAGTATTCCATCAGAGTAAACAATGCTCACAGAGACGTAATACAGGGAAGGCGACCTAGCGGCAACACTGAGCTACGACCTCAGTGAAACGAAGCAAAGCCAAGGGTTTTGAGATGAGCACAAATTCGGGTACGGTACACTCTAGGTCGTCACGCAACAAAAACAGTAAACGCGAGGTGTCAGCAGAGCTGTGTACGCTGTTGAAACACACAAAAAGAAGGGTGCAACGAGCTGCAGAATCGAACTAAAGTCAAAACGTCCACAATCTTCCATGCTCTTCATCCACGCACGAAAGGCTTTACTCGCCAAAGTACAACAAAACGATATGTTACAGTCAAGCTTACTGATAACACGCACACTACTTATCGTTTATCGCACGGCCATCGAAGTCAGTGAACATTTCGAGCTCTTGCATCCACCGACACAAAATGAATTAAAAAAAAAATGTTTTAGCAATGCTTATCGATGACGTGCACACTACTCCTCGCTTATCTACGGCCATACCAGACCAATGGACACCTACTGTATCGACACCATCCATTTTGCTTTGCGCGACAAACCGAAACGAATAAATTACCGCACAATGCCATGCGCAAATGCTAGGGAAAACACAAGCGGTGGTCCCGAAAAGGTGCGCGTCAAGACTGGCTCTACTTTCACTCCCGTACCCACCCCCGCGCCTCTCTATACACCCGTCTGTGTGCATCTGTGCGGGAAAATCACCAAAACACAAGCAGAAATAAACCGGTCATGACATATCTCTCCCTCTCTCTTCTCTCCCGTTTGGCCGCATTAGCCACGGACGACACGCACTTCTCAATAAACCTACACAAATCCGCCCTTAGCTGCAGTTGATTGCTGTCTTGTGTCCCTTCAGCAGCCGAATCATGCAGCCAAGTCATTTCCTCCCCTTGTCAGCAGTAGCATCAACACGCCTTCTTACAATCTTGCTCGGAGAGCCTACCAAGTAATTCTTGCCCCACTCGACGTGCCGTGAAGCAAGACGGCAAGCCATCCTCTCTCTCACCATCACTCGGCAGCCACGGCGTGGGTGAGTGCATCATCTTCTCCCTTGCTCTCTCCTCTTGTAGGCGCGGCTGCCGCTGCCGGCGCCGCTGCTTCTCGCTTCTTATCCGCCGCCTCCACGTTGCTGCTCGAAGCTGGTGCCAAACAAGGGGACCCGACGTCTAGATCTCCGTTCCTAGCCTTGTCAACCAGCTCATGTGTCTTGAAGATGTTCCGGATGAAGGGCCGAACGTCGCCTGCAAAAAAAAAGTAGCAACACACGACAGAGGTTCAGTGTCTGTGCCCCTGTGACAGCAGTACTGGCTACCTAACTTGAGCCAGGAAGACCAAAATGCTGCATGCTGCATATCACTCTTAAGTTGAGCCAAAGCGACATGAGACATGCTACAACACCTGGACTGGTATCTATCTCCGTGAAGAATACCAAGGAACCCGCCTCGAGACTGCATTGGCTGGGTCTGGGAGAGTCGACCAACGCGAGTGATACAACCAAGGAAAACGCGACCCGACAGTACTTTACCTCCAGCGGTCTCGCTCTCGCTGATGAGCTGCTTGAGCAGGGGAAGCAGGTGCAGAAGCTCCTCGTCCGACTTGTCGTCGAACCAACTCTCGATAGGGATGCCGTTGTCAATCTGCGGGGGAAAACAGTGGTACCGGGTAGGTTGAACCGTTGAACCAGCTTTCGGTGTGTTGAGTGGGGATAACACTCGTCTTTGTTTTAAGAAAAGTGTCGTTCCCATGTGTGTTCAATGACAAACCCAAAGCCGCAGGACTGTTGTTCTGAGTACACGGACTATTTTAGTATGAACGATGGTTTCATGAGTGGTACATGTCATGATTCCACGTGTAAGTCCCACCGCCCCAGCAGCTACTGGTGTTGTTCAAAAAGCAGCGGCTCAGCGTTCTTGTGCTTTTTCCACGCACGCCCCAGTGCGCTCGCAAAAATTGCGAAGCAAACGTCAGGGCAGGCACTCAAAGATCATGTATAAGATGCGCCTTATCCATCTGTGAAAGATAATTGTTCTGTGGCACCATCATCGCCGCTGCGTTGAAGCATATGGTACTCACTAACAAACTCCAAAGAAGACTTGTACATATTTGAAAAAGAGGTGCTTCCGAAGCCCAACAGAGGCATTCTGACAACGATTCAGGCCAACACCCGAATGTCAAATGACCACCTTGAGCCCCCCCCAGGTACAGGGAAGGTACTCGTATCGTAACTCGCAACGCTCGCTTCCTTCTCCTTCACCTGCATACTGCAGCTGAGATAGGTAGGTCTGCAGAAGTGCCTAGCATACAGGTAACTAACTGCTGGCAGAGGGCTGGCTTGGGACAAGTGGTTAGTCCGCTTCGCCCTTGTTCCACTGTAAGGCCGACAAATACCCTTTGAGCACAACCGCAACAGTCAGGATGTTTCCTCTCAAGGCTAGGAACAAGCTCGTATTCACCTGGAACCCGTACGCGTAAGGGGAGTTGTCCACGATGGCCACCTTGGACAAGTCCCTCCCCAGCACGTTCAGGTCCTTGAGGTAGTTGCCCTCTAGCGCCATGCATGCATCACGGTACAGGCGGTACCTGAATCGACAGCGTGACCAGCAGCACAAGCACAAGATTAGCGTAAGCAAGCATCGGCGTTTTGCGCATGCTGGTGGGCTCGTGAAGCATGTAAATGTACATACCCCCCAGCGTCGTGCACGGAGTCACAGGTACAGACGGTACCGCCACCATCTGGAGCAAGCACCACTACTGCTGTACCGCCAAAAAACAAAACAACCCGTTGCAGCATTGACATTGAGTCTGGCTGGCTCACTTGACGAACTTCTTTTGTGGGTCGATCATGTTGAGCAACCTCTCGGCGTAGACCTGCTGACTCGCCGTGAAGACCACCACCTCGAACAGCTCCGAGACGGCCTCCAGGAACGCGTCCAGGTGCGGTCGCTTACGTACGTACACCTTCGAGGGCCGAGGCATATACGTGTAACATGTCACCGTCGATGCAACCAGCGTCAACGGCGAGAGGGCCCTACATTATGGTACGTAATACGAAGCGACGACAAGCCTGAGTGAGGGGTGGAAGCCGAGGGAAAGCGCCACAAACGGCATCGAGCTGGAACCGGTCGCTTAAGGGGGTGTGCACCCACAGAACACATCACGTTAGCGCCGCTACAGTAGCATGAACGGGAAATGTTTGGCTGAGTTATGTTTGCACGATATCGTCATTTTTTGAGGCGCACAAACTCACTTATTGGCGAAAACGGGACTGATCTTCATGTTGCATATTGCGTCAGTTCTCAACTTCCCAAAATACGCACAACACGTTACACGGACAAGAGAACGGCGCAAATCCACAAGAGAGACACGGACTTATTTGGACCAAGCATTGTTGCGTCGGCAACAGAGCACTCGTCAGTCAACCAGTTCTAGAATGAAAGAAAACTTGCCACCTCTACACAGCTTCTCGCTCGTGCACTGAACACGCAGCACTCCAGCTAGCCTCCTGCCCATCCACGCACACCATGCATACTCCACATAATATGTTGTCATCTCTTCTCTCACCTGGAACTCCTCCCCATTGAAGTGAACCTCGAACCTGTGATCCGGGTTTACGATGGGATCGACCGTGCAGTGCACCAAGGTCTCGTCGAGGTCCAATACCAGAGTCAGTTCCTTGCCGTGCCGAGTCTTGCGCTTTTCCGGCAGGGCAGGTGCCTGCAGCAAGTGAACATTGCAATACGACGGGCGTGCGTTCGAGAGCACTTTTTGTCGAGGGGGGGGAAAAACCCAACGTTGCACAGCCGAATCTACCATACATCTTGGTCAAGTGAAACAGTTTGCATTATTCATTGTGTTCTTGCCACGCTGCTGATCAATGCCAGCTACATAGTCTCCCCGTGCTTTCTAAAATCAACACCGAAGCGTCTCGCAAAAAAAAACAAAGACGATTTACACGGCAAAACAACAAGTAACTTTGCCTGCCAGTCATCAGAGATGGTCCCGGCTGGGGATGTGGTGCTGGGTCTCGTGTTCTCATGTGAGGAGAGGGCAGCGTGCGAAAGGGCAGCGGAGCACCTCGTGAGTATGGTAGGTGTGAGAGGAAACAACAAGCCCGCTCACCTCTGGCGTGTGGTGCTTGACAGTGTTGTAAGGCGGTAGATGCGCAATAAAGCAGTACGGATTGAACTCTTCCTCGTCTTCCTCCTCCTCCACCTCCTCCACCTCCACCACTCCATCCACCCCTCCGTCATCATCCTCGCGATTCACCAACCCCGGGGCTCCGTCGTGTTCATTGCCCCCCCCGTGCTTCGGCTTTTCACCGGCACCGTCGGTCCTCTGCTCCCCTGTTGATGGCGCTGCCGCAGCCGCCGCCTCCCCTCCTTTCCCCTGGCGGTTGGGTGGCGATGGTGATGCTGTTCTTCCCTTCTTGGACAGAGGCTCAGCAACAGCGGATGAGGAAGAGGCGGTCGTCCCAGCATGGGCAGCACCGACATGGTCGCCATCACCATCAGGTCTATCGTGCTTCTCGGTCACAGCCACCGCCGCCGCCGCTACTGCACCCACGGTTGAGGCGGGAGCTTGGTCTCGTGCCTCCTGTTTCATTTTCGAAGTTTTGCGTGCACCACGTTAAATTATTGTCTTGTCAACACCAACAACGAAGACGCACGCTTGGACGCTTGGCCTCCAGCTCCCCTATCGATTTCGTGTGTCTGACTCTGTTTCAACCACAAACAACCGCCGCCAACAGCCGAGAAACACATACACACATAGCCCGCATCTCCCGTTGCGGCACATTATGTACACACCATCAAGAACGCAACCAAAGTGGGGCTAGCTTGTATTCTAGCTCCTACTTCGACCAAAGTACTCCTTGACGTCAAAATATAAATTGCGGCGAACAAGCACCCGTCAGCTGGCCGACCTTCCGCTTCTGCATAGCAAATCTTCAACAAACGTATTGCCGGGGCAGAGTATCAGAAATCTACCACCACCAGGTTATCTTCAACTGAACACACAGGCAGGTGTACCTCTTGGCTTTGGATCAGCGCTGGGGAAAAGATGGAGCTCTCCTTGGGCTTGTGCCTATTTTGGTCTTGGTGGTCTCCGTCTCCTTCCAACCTCTTTCCTTCTACCTCTGCAGCCCCGCCCAGACTAGAACTCCTGCCCTTCCCCTCGCCCTGTTGCTGCGATCGTCTGCTGTCACACAAACCGCTACTGCGAGGAGTTGCCGACCTGGTTTCCCCGAAACACCATCACAGGGGGGGGGGGGGGGGGGGGGGGGGGGGGGGGGGGGGGGCTAAAGGT